CATCAAGCCGTTGGTGCCACTACATGTAGAGGAATCTTCGTTAGTAAAGTGAATTCATTTGTGGTTGTTGTCTCAGAAGGAGCTTACAAGTAACACTCATTTCATAGCAATTATTGTCACTTTGTTATGTAATATACCATTTTTTATGAATGATATTAGTTAATGTTTTACTTTACTCAAATACAGACATTTCGATTTGTAATGTTAATATTTTTGGTATATCATTATTAACTGTGTGTATAGTTATAGCTTGAATAAGCTCTTTTAATGAGATCCATCACAATACTAAGATGTTAGATTGTGTTACTGACTAGTCGACTCAGTCAATATTATTATTTTTATTTCCAATAGAAAATCTTTGATAACTATGTAAAAACACACCTCGCTACTTTTTTTAAACATCAGAATGTTGATACCAAGCGCCAAAAGACTACAAAACTGAATATCCATGTAATTTACGAAGTAGGACTTGCTAATAAGTATCCAAAATATGAAACGGTAAAAAATCTATCTATGTGTAATAGTATGAATGAACTTGATAAAGAAATCACTCATGAATGTCGAAGCAGATAACATAAAACTGGTTGGTTAGTGATACATTTGATTCATGATAACGTAGCGATGGTGGTTGCATAAGAAATATTGACTTCTCCAATACACTTTTTCTCATTGGATGTAAATAAGACGTACAACAGCTAATTAAAGTAAGTCAAGGAGGTGAAAGCAAACAGCATGTCAGGACAATAATACAGATCGAAAAAACAACCTCTACATAGTCACAGTAAATTACCACTTATCAGCATCAAAAAAACAAGTCCAATTTGTGTTCTATAATAAGATTTTTAAGTAAACAGAATACACCCATTAAGACATTAATTAAGAAAGATTAGTTTAGCGAAGAGTTCTCTTTTCGGCGAATTCATTTTCGAAGCTGTATAATCGCAAATACATATACTTACTTTTACAGGATGATAATAATACTGATAATAACTTCTGTTAGACATGGTGACAGTGAGGTTAAATAAACTGAGGTATTAAAAAAATTTAAAACAAGGAAAGTTCAATAATCGTTTGATTGTTAATGTCTTAAGTATTCATCAAAAGATAGATTGGGAAATTAGCATTGGGAAAGGATGGCTCAGCATGATAAGATAAAAAGCTTAGATTGAGATCAAACGTAATCAGAATGATCGTGAAAACAAAATGAACCAGTTGGGGTTAGAGGATTTAAGGGGTGAAACAGATGGCTGTAAATGAAGAAGAGTATAGGACAGAGAAGAAAAAATTATAAGACATTAAGACCATGGTAGAAGAAGAGGTTGTACCAGTCTCTTATGCACACACAATTCTAGTTTTTCCGAATGACAAAATTATTCCGTCTCTGGATGTCGAATCATTATTCATTAATGTTCCACTCACAGAGACTATTAATTTTATCTGCAAGTACGTAAACAATAATGAAATTAACATCGGAACACCGAATGTTTATTTCAAGGAGCTATTATTTTTTTCAACTTGCAATGTACAGTTCACATTCAACGACGTAATTTATAGACAGAAGGATGGCATAGCAATAAGATCCCCACTTGGTCCATTACTAGCGGATTGCTTCATGTCCGGCTTAGAAAACGACAAGCTCAAAACGATCATAGGAAACCTCCACGTGTATAAAAGGTGCGTAGATGATATCTTAATAGTTTATGACAACAAATGACTTGAGTCATCTCCTAAAGACGTTTAATAATTGCAACCCAGCGTAAAATTCACACTAGAGTTTGAAAACAAACAAAAGATTCACATTCTTGATATGGAAATGACAAGAAATCAAGATGGTACTCTAAGGATATTTATCTACAGGAAACCCATGTGGAATGGCCAACTTTCAAGTTTCCATAGCTTGGTTCCCATCAGTAGAAAAGGAATCTCCACACAAGTATATGAAGAATAGGTAGTCTCGAAGTCATAGATGAAGAATTGCGCCTCTCAAAGGAGATACTTATCAAAAATGAGTATCCTTCGATGTTCATTGATAAGAACATGAAGCAAAGAACTCCGAAAACACAAATAATTACAATGAAAAAGAAAACTTTATACATGAACATAGACTTCGAGGGTGACAAACATCCTAAAGAAGAGGATTTCTGATTCCTTAAAATCAACATTCTTCGCAGCAACATTGCTAATAGTATTCTCTAGCCGATCATTGTTCAGAGAATTCAAGAACATTCCCCAGCGTGGCTAAATAGAGGAGGCAACGGCTCAATAAGAATTTCAACAATCGAAAACCTTGTGAACACAGGTCCCTCAATCAAGACAGACTCTGCGTTCAAAATCATCTACAAGGTAAGTAGAAGTCTTCCAAAGACAATTAGACTGTATCTTCGCATTGCCGAAACATTAGCCATACATTTGGAAAAATCAGAATTGTGTGTGCCAAAGGTTGCCAGGAGTTGTTAACCCATTGTTGTAAGACCCCTCCGATTGCTGAGTCGTATGCGTCTACTGCGATACTAATGGGTGCTTTTCGTGAGATGTCGTCCAAATTGATAGATTTCGCATTTTCAGTAAGTTGGTCAGTTGGAGGCTTCATAAGTAACGCGCATTTCGGTATGAATCGTCAACAGAAACTTATGAGACCGTTAAGCGTTCGTACTTGCTTGATTGTGATCGGTTCTGGGTAATCCAGAATGGCCTCCACTTTGGTTCTAATTGGTTGCATTCCTTGCGCATCAACAGTGTGTCCTAGGAAGTCAGGAATCAGTTCCAATTTGGCATTTCTGAATGTTTACAGTAATGCCATCTTTCTGTAGTCGATCGAAAACAAGATCCAGATTCTGGAGATGAGATTCCCTGTCCGGACTTACTATTAGACAGTCGTCAACATGCCTATGTACTAAGTTGAGGCCTCGAAAAACGTCGTCTATAAACCTTTGGAAGTTTTGTACAGCGTTTCTTAGGCCGAAGGGCATTCGCAAAAATTCCTAAAGTCCGAAGGGAGTTATGATAGCTGTTTGTGGAATGTCGTCAGTGGCCATGGAAATTTGGTTATGCGTTTTAACTAAGTCCATTTTCGAAAAGGCAGTTGAACCTTTCAAGGTAGCTGTCAAATCGTGAGTGTGAGGCAACGGGTAACGATCGGGTATGGTTTTCGCATTCAGTCGCCGACAGTCACCAGTTGGACGCCAATCGTTGCTGTCCTTTTTAGAGACTATGTGCAGCGGACATGCCCATGGACTATTTGACGGTCGTACGATTCCTAAGTCTATCATGTGATCGAACTCGTTTTTCACCAACCTTAGCTTTTCGGGGGCTGGTCGTCGTGCTTTCAAGAATACATGTGGTCCTGTAGTCGTGATGTGATGTGTAACGTTGCTGGTTACACATGGTAATTTCGATCGCGTTTGGTGTATCCCACGATACTTATCGAGTAGTGGTTGATAGAATGGGTCTATCGTGTGCTTAATTGTGACTGGAGATAATCTGAAACCAGAAAAAGAGGTTACGCAAAACGGATAAATTAGTATTTCCGTCTACTAGCCTCTGTTTGCGCGTATCGATGATTAAATTATGGTGCTGTAGGATGTCCCTTCAAATGAATGGTATAGAGACATCTGCAACAACAAAAATCTAGTGAATGGGTTTGCGTAAACCCATGTTAAGGTAAACGTACCTTTTATCGTATGTGGTGATAGGCTTTCCGTTTGCCACCTGTAAGTTTAAGACTGATTCATGAAGCCGGTGGTTAGAATTTGCAGGAAGAACGCTAACTTCTGCACCAGTATCGACGAGATGGCGAACTCTCGTTGTCACATCTGTGACGAATAACAGACGACTATGTTCGCCGGCTATGGTTTCCGTTAATGCGTGCCGGATTGGAAGTTTCCCGAATTGGTTTTCGTGTTGGTCGGTTTTGAGTTCGGAAAATTTCAGGGTTTTCTGCAATTTCTGAAGGACTTTCCATACTGGTTATGATATCAGCACCAGTCGGGATTATCAGTCTCTCGTGCTTTAGAGACAGATCGCTTACGTGAAGTGCTTCTTCGAGAGGTGTATGATCGTTTACGGTCGTTACGAAACTTGAGATAACGTGTAAGTGTATGACATAACTCTGTTATGTCATTCTGGGTCGTTTGAGGCTTTTTTTAGACTGAAAAAACCTCGGTATTAGAAGATTTGGTGACTTCTAAAATGCGGTTGGCAGATGCAGTCAGCTCGTCTACGGCGTTGTTGTGAAACGAGACCAGCACGGCTTGCACCTGTTGAGGAAGTTTGGATGAAAAAAGTTGTATGAATAGGCCATCGTCGAAGGTTCATTGGCCGATAAACTCTCTCATTCTTTGCAACATGTCTGTCGTAGAACCGTATTGCAGGTCGATGTCATTGAGGAGTTGGTCCAACCTTTTTCTATCGGTTAGGTCTCCGCGTTTGGGAATAGAACATTTCAGCCTTCTGTAAGGTCCAGAAACGTCACTAGTAAACATGCTAGGTGTCACATACCTCTTAAATTAGCGCGGTAGTGCTTTGACTACTGTGAGGAATTGTGCGCGTGTGTCGATCACGCCGTGCTTGGCGAAGTCGGCTTCTGAGTAGTAGAACCAGGCTTCGATGTTGTCTGGCCAGAAGGGCATCAGTTGAAACGAAGGTGGGGACAAAGTTTTGAGCTTAAGTACTTTGGGTGTCTGTTCAGTCATGACGAAATATGAAGTACGATGATGAACGAGGGAAAATATATATATCCAAAAAACACGAAAAAATATCACAATGTATAAAAAAATTAAGATAAGGCAATGATACATAGAATCCCAAAAAGGAACAGATTCACAGTTTGCGTTTTGGTGTACGGATCAAGTTAGGCTCACCAACGAACATGCCACAGGTGTCCAGTCCTAAAACTGACTCACGTTGATATTAGGGACTCTCAGAAACCTACTAGAAATAGACTAACACAAGTTTTAGGCTATTTGTTCTCAATACTCAGATTTGAAAAAGTCGTTAATTTTATGTGTATTCGTTACGTCAAGGTCAAAGTGGTGACGTTTTCGGATTGCACTGCTGGATTGAGTGAGTCCCTGATGTGCTTACTTTGTGTTAAAAATGTTTTAAAGAAATAGTGACTTTATTTTTCTTCAATATATAAAATTATCTGTTTAACGATCATATTAAGTTCGAGCATGAACTCATGAGTTTGCAAACCCTACCGTTGGTACCTTATTAGTTGACTCCTGTAATTTCCGGAAAGTACCTTACCTAATGAGTCATTAAAGAGCTCCGAATCCTCAGATATCAGTACTTACTGCAAAAGCTGTGATCCAACCCCACATAAGTATTTCTCTTCATATAGTCCAGTCACCATATTAAGGCTATTTGAAAACCATATACATAACAGGGTATTTTCACTTCGACTCTGATAAACGTTTTGGGCCTGTCTTCTCGTTCCCTTCCTGTGTCTTATAGGACAAAATATCTTCAGGAATGTCCTCACCTCTCTTACTGAGAAGGCTACCATATCCTGGTATAAGCCTGTGTCTGAGGGAAGTCATTTTAAACTTTTTTGCGCATTTTGAACTAGTCATAATACTGCAACACTGCATTTTAAAGTTGGCTTAAAATTTTATGGCATAACAATTTTATCCCGTCTTCAATTTTTAGACGTGACTGCTAGAATTTTAATAACCCGAGCCATAAATGTGTAAGTAGATCAAATAAATAAATTTCGCCTGTTCCGTATGGTATAGTGACCATTTCTTGACTAGAGGGCTTGTAGATGAGAATATTAGGAAGTTCGGCACTATCTTTAATAATACTTGAACCATGATTCTTAAAAACAGTAAACTTCCACACTGGACATTCAGTTGTCATTCCAAATGGTGGCCATTCACCATAGTCATATTTAACTATAACCTTTTGCGAAATAATTTCTCTAGTAAATCTAAATTCAAGAGCTTATTGTTCAGTAGTCCCTTTCCATTATTGAATACCACTATTCAGTACTTGTTTTAATTGGAAACTATAAGGAATTCTCTGGGCTATTACCTTCAGTCACTGTTCTAAAACTTCGGTTAATCAATTCGCTTAATGTCATTCATTTCGGAAAACTTAAATTTTATTTTTTAATCTCAATTTTCATTTCCGTGTCATCAACTGCATACTATCTCAAGACATCCCGTAACCTTATTTTTACAAATATGAAGAGGTTTGCCTTAATTGTCTTTGCTTTCATTCATGTGTGATTGTTCTAAATTATGTATTTTTGTGCTGGCTGATTCAACAAGGCTGATGATTTCAGAACTATTGGTTGGTTAGGGTATGAGATTAGATATCAGTCGAATTTAGTCTTTGCAGAAAAGTCCTCCCAATAACATTTGAGCAAAGATTTTTCTCTTGTCTCAGTTAAAATAAATACTGGCAGTTGATTTACGCATCACATGTAATCAATCGCTATTTTAATAATGACTCAACTAATAAATTTTAAAAATTATTTCACTCTTTAGATTTATTATCAATAATGAGTAGAATTAGGACATCTCTTGGAGTTTTAAGTCTTGGATTTGGATTGTTCACTGCAGAAGCTTTGTATTCAGGAAATGAGCACTTCTATAAGGATTGGTTTCTACCTACTGCCCGTATCTTAGTCCGTGATGGTGAAACCGCCCACAATTTATCAGTTTACTTAGCAAGTCATGGATTTATACCACATAAACCTCGAAACTCATTCCCTCATCTCAAATGTAAAGTTTTTGGACTCGAATTCGACCATCCCATAGGATTAGCTGCAGGTTTTGATAAAAACGGAGAGGCATTTATGGGTCTCTTAAATGCAGGATTTTCACATATTGAAGTTGGAACTGTCACCCGGATCCTCAGCCAGGTAACGCACGTCCTCGCATATTCAGATGGGCGAAGAAAGAAGCGGTAATAAACCGGTAAGGATAACTTTCTACTTTGTAAAGTAACTGTTTGAATCTTTCAGTAGCCCATAACAATCATATCTAAAGTGTGATTTACTCAGTCTGTTTTAATGAACAACTCTAAATGGAAAGTTATATTAAGCAAATAATGATATTTATGGATAACTTATGTACATAAGAACTGAAGCAATATCATTGTAAGTATTGATCTTTGTTTTATTGCTCAGTTGGCATTATTCTATTTGTCTCACTCAGTCCCTACACCTATGTAAACTCACCGTCCATACATCATACAGTTAAGCTTCTATAAACAAACGGACATCATCAACTTAGAACCTGGTACAGATGTGCGTCGGCTTATAGCCATACCAAATTAGCATGGCAAGATAATAATAACAGAAAAGATCGATATAATGTGGCAACAGTGATAAGATAGAAGACTAATTCTTGGGAATATGGTTTGAAAAGTGGTGCTCACTACGCTAATATATTCACGACTCCGACTCCAGTATAATGAGTCACACTACTATCCAGAGCTTCAACCGGGTTAGTGAATATGGAGGGTCCACCGAGGAAAGTTGGAAAACCCTGATTCCAAACCAATGGTGTACAAGGGCTCCAACATCCTGAGGGAACCAGTGGAGTATGAACCGATCGTTGGTCACCGGCTACCATGAGACTGCATCTTCTGACGTAGCTCCACTGCCTTGTGGATTAGACCTTTAGGTCAAGGGCTCGGGGTGTGGCCTCCTAAGAAAACGACCTGTTTCGGTTTGGGCACCCGGGCAGTATCCCGGCTCTCACATAAACCATTTGATTTATGTGGCGCATATCTGTTTGGTGCTTCCTTGTGCCAATATTTATGTGTTTAAATAATAAATAAATACCCCCGTCACAAGAAGGGAGTGAGTAGGACTTCCCTGGCGGTGGCTGTATACGCGTAGTCATGTGAAAGCATTTCGAGAGGGAGAGATAACTTTCCCCACCCTCGGCCGTACCAGTCTTCAACCACAGTTTACAGTTGAAATGTGGACCCCAAACAGGTAGTCTACATTTACCAACATGGTCCAAACCAAAGCTTAATTAATTCATGGATCGATGTCATGTTTTGGTTTATCCGCCCTCAGTTATCTTTCAACCTACTTCTGCACTACTAGGCATCGCTTATTGAGGTAGGCAGTAGTCGGTCTTACGTAACATATATCCTAACCGTATCAATCAATGATTTCCAACCTCATTGCTTGCCAACTACTCTATGTTTAACCTCAACTTTGCCCACTCGGTTGTTTCATAAAACGCCAGCAATGTTCCAAAGACACCTACAATCCTAAACTTTTGGCTAACATTTGTCTTCTACTTCCATAGACTATATTTTACAGCCATAAAGTACAATAGAGCAGACTGTCAGACACTACAGATGCCCTTTGATTGGGAGACGAATATTTCGACTCCGCCTGTAACCCTGCTAGGGTTACTGCCAGTCTCAAGCCCGAATAAAGGAGCAGGGTTGAGCATAAAGTCACCAACTCCATCCCGTAGAAAATAACCTTGTTAAGAAAACGTTGACCAGAAAAAATCATTTAAATGACTTAAACTCTGCCCTAAAGGTTGAAGAGTCTCCATTTTGTAATAGTTATGACGCCTCATGATGAAAGCCGAGATTCTTCGGAAATCATGAGACCGATGTCCTTTTCATAACCAGAGTAACAATTATTATAAGTACATAGAATGTCCGAACAATGTAGGAAACCGTGAGCATTAAGCAAATAGCCGCAAAAATGAGGGGATACAACTCGGTGGTTCTCAAAATAAGTGAAACCCATTGAACGCAAGCTGGACAGAAGATATTAGCTTCGGGAGAAGTGCTGTTGTATACTCAAGTAATTGCACTAATCCTTTCCAGAGAAGCACGAAGAGCACTTATAGGGTGGGAATTTCATGGATCCGTAATCACCAAGGCATCCTTCAAAACATGCTGTCACCAATTCAGCTGTTGAAGCAGAACATTCCTAAAACAACATGTCGCATTTAGTGGGACAACATACAAGCAACTCGCTGCAGGAATCTAGTCAATAAATGCCTTTCCAGCTTTCTAACTTCGTGCCTTACCTACACCGGCAAGACCACGAGAAGTTGTTGTTGATTCTCAGGATACACGAAAGGCATATTGAGTTTGCTTTCCGTACTGTCTAGAAATAGTCGAGTAGGTCTTCATATTAGGGTTCTGTGTCCGTGTTTTGGACACACAGAATGGCATGAGATTCTAAGGTCTTAGTTTGCGACACCTGTTGTGCTCGGACATTATAAGCTCTAACACAGTTTAAAACGCGATCTGAAGAGACCTGATATGGCATATTGTGAACATAGACCGCTAGCATTGGTAGCACGTTAAAGAAGTCAAATACATAAGATGAGTTTTGATAATAGAAGTAAAGGTGATATTTGTTAATAATGGTGTTCAATTATGAATGAGACGAGCTCGCGTGTTGTTAGAAGTATGGGAGCAGTCGTTGCCTTTCGAGCGCTCACATTACGGAAACTTATTTCTCCTTGAGAGATTTGGAAAGGAAACTGAATTAGTGGTGGTCTTAGAGACTCGGAAACTCAGATGCTTTTACTCGTTCCAGCGAAAACTACCGGTATTTGGAATAAATTATCTCTTTAGGTTGGGACGAAAATATAAATTGTACCTATGCTTTCGACTTAGAGCGGATACTTCATTCTTAGCATAAATACGTATGATAACGAAATAAGTCGGCCGTTAGTTCTGCACGATTTAGAATTTGTTTCTTGGGTCTCAGTTGTTCGAAATTCTACCAATGAAGATATATTGTAGAGTTAGTCTTCTAATCCCAAATCTCATGTTATGTGATCATTTGGTACGTTATATCGCATTCTGTTAATGCTGGAGTCTTTTACATTTAATATAAGACGTACCGTTTAAGTGTTTATGGACTGACTTCGAGATACACCTGTCGTGTATATCAATTTTACTAATTGATTACCTCAAGCATAATGGATCGGGCGGGTTTCTAACCCTTTAGTTAATACTTCATAGTCAAACACTAACACTGATCGGCGTATTTTTGCCATCTCAAATACCTTCACGCATTTAAATGATTTGCCTGTTGCGACAATCGAATCAAGTTATATTATCTGTATTGTATTTTCCTAAGTGTTACTGGTCGCATTCATTCATTATTATTCTGTTATCATTTCAGATGTGGGTTTAACAGTGATGGACATGATGCTGTATATGAAAGACTCAAAGATCGTCCATGGGAAGGTAGGCTAATTGTAAGTATACTGATTTTACTAAATTTAAATATCCCTTCATATTTTTGTCATTGTATTTATCATTCACAGAAAGTTTTCATTCAATTGATTTTCTTCCCCTACTCTTTTGGATTTGTTCGTAAATTCAAGTTAAATGATTGTTTAAAGTTTGCAGTTTTCATGTTAATCATGTATATATGCTGACTTATTTTGTAAACTGTTTTAACGGTCTGCTTGATTTATAAAGTTCTGTCTATCCATGTGGTCGCAGTGCCTTGCACACAATATATGAACATTCACGTTAATTTTTGACTTAATCAAGTAGATGTGTATATGTGGTAACTAGTAAAGTAGCTAATTATGTTTATATATATAGCATTTTCTCAATTTAACCTGTTTTAGGCCGTGGTGTAATTGGTGTCAATTTAGGCTGCAATAAAACAAGTACAGATCCAACTGCTGATTACGTGGCAGGTGTTCGGAAGTTTGGCGAAGTAGCTGACTATTTAGTAATCAATGTATCTAGTCCAAATACTCCAGGACTACGCTCCCTACAGACTAGAGAAAAATTGCGAGATCTCTTATCTAAAGTAAGTTTAGCACATACCGAATACGGAGATTGTTATTTAGTATAAATGTTTAACTCAAATTTCCATAAAATTCAAGCTTTGTTTGGTGATGACATTCAAACTGAATCTCTGAAAGTCAAATAGCTCAGTAACTTAAAGTAATCTCAACGGTAATGCTACGAGAACGTCTTGCTTTGCTCCTTGTGATGAGTAAGCTTCACTTTTGTGGAAAACCAAATATTTATTATTGATGTCCTTAAACTGTATGCTCACACAGTTTATTCTTCTGGTAGTGATACAGCTTGTTTATCATTTAATCACAGGAAGTTTTGGGTTTTTTTTTGTAATGTAGGTCAGTTAGTCATCTACAACGTTAGAACTAAGCACATATATTTATCTGCCCAAGTTGCCACGCCTCATTAGCACAACAAGACGAACACCAAATTCATAGAAGTAGTTACTTCAATGGTAGTAATATCTAAAAGAAAGATCGAATATAAAAATTTGATACAGGGAGAAAGAATTAGTTCGTACAAATAAAGGTATGAAGCAATTTTAATCTCACGGTTTAAGGGAAGAGAAAGAGTGCATACACCTACGCCATTGTGATCGATTCTGAACCATGTCACTCAGAGTCTCCAACCATTGGTTACGATAGTCGCGCGGACCCCAACCAAGTCGGTTGCATCTACCAACGTGGCTCAGGACAGGAGTTAGTGACTTTATGGACTGATACTGTGGTGCGTGCTACTTATATTGATATAAGTAGTATATGACGCGAGTCAGGAATGTAATGTCTGGCGGCAGAAGATCGGGAAAGGTCAAGAAAGCAAGAGCGGGAATGGAAAGCAATTAATATGGAAATGCAAGGACAATGAAGTTCGAGACAATCATTGAACATTTTGCAAATTAAGTATTATAGTATGGTTTTTTTATTTTACCAAGTAACTTTGTAATTTTGTGCTAAATATGATTCGGTTGTCCTCACCTGTGTTCTCCTTCACTACAATACCACGTTTTCCTCTGGCCGCCTCTAACTTTCTACCAACCATCTCCAACACTAGTCAGCATTGCGCACCGTGGTAGTCGGTGGTTGCGCTTGAGTAATACGTGGCCCAACCATTTCAGTCGTCGAAGACCCACAATCTCATCAACTGATTTACCATCATTCCCTAATACCCTGGGTCTAACCTCACTATTACTTACCCGGTGATCCCAGCAGATGCTGGCAATATTTCTAAGACATCTGTGATCAAATATTAGTAACTCACGGGTGTCCTCTACCTTAACAACCGTGTTTCGCAGCCGTAAAGTAGAACAGGACGAACTGGAGCGCAGTATACTCATCCTTTAATCGATGTACGGATATCTCGCCTTCGCCATAGGTGACGCAAGTTGGCAAAAGCCAAACGAACCTTTTGCAATGTAATGCATTCGTCAGTAGCCCATCATGTCAAGTTTTAATATATTGTAAGAAACCAAGTAATTAACTTTATTTTACAGTGTTCATCGGAAGGAATACCATATTGAAAATTAATTAAAGTATACATGTTCCCAGTTCATTAGTTCGTTTTAATTCTTCTTATTTGTCATTGAAATGTATTTGACACTGTCACATAAATAAAAAGGCGTGTTGATTTTTTATTATTCAACAGAATTTTTTACTCTACTCGTTTAGGCCTAGTATTATGAAGCTCTTCATAGGGATGGTCACTAGTTGATTATTTCTGTTTAACCGAATGAAATTGTCGATGCTTTAGAATTTCAGTTGATATTCATCTCGACTATATAGATTCATTTATACTTTACATAACTGTAATTTTATCAGTCAACTATATTTTATTTATAAACATTGAATGACTTTGTATATGAAATATTAAAATAATAATCCTATCAATTCGGTTATCATTATTGTTCAACACGTTTTTTTTCATAAGGGAAAACCTTATTTTTCCCATCAGTTTTCTATATTTCTCGTCCTAATTACATTTGTTTGATTATATCGCTAGGAATAATTTTACAAATTTAGATATTCTTAGTGTTATTCTATACTACTCAATAACTTCATTAGTAAATAAAGTAGTCGGTTGTGAGATATCAACTCACTGAAGACAATGGTGTACGGTGGCGCAACTTCGTGGATTGGTTGAAGTTAGACATTAACACCGTTGGATGCTAGCTCAGTGGTCTAGTGGTTAAGTGCTCGCGCGCGAAACCAGTAGGTCCTGGGTTTGAATCTCGCAAGGGGCGAGGTCGTGAATGCGCACTGCTTAGGAGTCCCATACTAGGACGAAACGGCCGTCCAGTGATTCCAGGTTTCCCATGGTGGTCTAGCTTTAATTGACTCATGATTTCAACCAGTGAGATTTCTAAACAAAATCTCCACAAAACCCCTTCTGAAAATAATATTGTATCGGTTGTTTTTTTTTTAAAAAAAAACAGTTTCTGTTAAATCGCATATATTATAGAATTATAACCAGATTTATTCAATAGTTATGCTACTTAATATCTTGAATATGTTACTTAATAAATAAAAATGATCTTTCATAGGTTTTATCAGCTCGAAATCAATTATTGAAAAAAACTCCTATTTTATTAAAAATCTCTCCAGATGAAAATGATCAAAGTTTAAAAGATATAGTAGAAGTTGCTTTGAATTCGAAAGTAAGCATATTTATATAAAATATATAATTCACTTATTTTTAATTCTAATATTTAGAGTGATATAATGAAATAGTTTAAGAGATCCAATGATAATAAAACTATAAAATCTAAGTCCAGGTAAATTATACTAAACATTTTCCATTAAAATCATCATCAATAATACACTGAGAATTATGAAAAAATGTTATATAAACTTATGAAGATGAAAAACGTGTCTCATTACAATGTACTAACATTTTTTGTTTTTCAAAAAAAAACAAAACAAAACAAAAGGTTTTCATTTCATTATAAACTAGTAAATAAATTCATTTATATACAATATGTGATTTATTATTCAAGTTCCATGGAATATTTATGATATAATGGATTGTTTAAAATATTTTCAGTCTCTCTCTCCCGCTCTCTCTGTAGTATATTACGATAAGACGTTAATACGATAATAAGACTAGTTACATTATACCGGAATCAGGATTTATTACTCAGAATAAAGATTTTTATTTTATTTTATTTGAACACATAAATATTGGTACAAGAGGGCACCAAATATATATGCGCCACACCATATTTGTGTCTCTGTGTGTGTGGGCTGTGATACTGCCCGAGTGCCCAGACTGAAGTAGGTGGTTTTCTTAGGGGGCCATACCCTGAGCCTTTGACCTAAAGGTCTAATCCACAATGCAGTGGAGCATCGTGAGGAGATGCAGTCCCATGGTAGCTGGTGACCAACGATTGGTTCATACGCCATTTGTTCCTGAAGGATACTGGAGCCCATGTGCACCATTGGTTTTGGATCCGGTTAAAGCGCCGGACATTGGCTTTTCGTCCTCTCATTTCCGTAGACAACACCCCCGCCACGAGAAGGCAATGAGTAGGACTTCTATGGCAGAGGCTGTATACAGAATAAAGAACTAGATTAACACTTTATTCAATACAATTACAGTCATTGTCAGCCAATCCAGAGTAGATATTAATGACAGGAAGGGAAATCATATATTTGATAGTTAATTGGACTAAATGCCTATTACTCAACGCTCAATGAACAATCATATTTTATTTTCATTACTGCATATCAATTTGTATGAATTTTTTTTAAAGTTAACGGGGAAGTTTTAATTCAATAGTTTAGGTACTTAACTTTCATTGAGATCTTGAACCGATTGATGGTAGACCATCATTGAGAACCTAAAAGCACTAGACGGCTGTTTCATCCTATTGTGGGACTCCTCAGCAGTGCGCGCGAGACTGAAGGCCCTAGGTTCGAATCCCGCGAGCGGGATCGTGAATGCGCACTGCTGAGGAGTCGCACAATAGGACGAAAAGGCTGTCCAGTGCTTCCAGGTTTTCAATGGTGGTTTAATGTCAATCGGTTCAATATCTCAATCAAAAACTTAATAATTTCCACAACCCTATACTGATACTTAGTTTTCAGTCAATAAATCGTTCATCAAAGCTACTTTTAATTTGATTATTGACAGTTAGTGTTATGTTTCTATAGTTTCTGATGTATCTGGGGTCTTCCTACCTATACTTGACAGTTGGGAACCACTGTAATTTCCATAATGTGAAGCGAAAACACAAAAACTGATACAGATGAAGGCTTATGGACTTTCTAAAACGAGACCCTTAAACAGATTGTCCGAAACTGTTGTCGTTAAACCAAATACACTCATTTACATACTGATTTTACCATTCGCTTGTTGATTAGTCGATAAACGTCATGTGAATGAAACGATACAGAGTTACTACAAAATACGAAAAAAGTTAACTGATGGCAATACAAAGAATATAACTGTCATACTGGGCAAAATTTCACACTTATCACACTAATACAAACAAATTAACCAGAAATAATGTTACACTGGAAAAGATAAAGCGGTTATCATGCCGACTAGGATATTACACTGCAAATAAAACTAATGTCATAAAATGTTATATCGAGTTAGAGAAAACGTAAACTCGCCTTTTTATTCGGATTTAGTGGTTACTATTATTGACCATTATACAATATGCATACAATCACCCATGGTCATTACTATTATTATTTATTGATTAATGGAACTCAAAGTAAACTCTCTCAGTCACTTCCACCCCAAAGTACTCTTCAAAACATTCAATATATATCTCTTATTACCTTTATAGTTACGTGATTAATTCATAGATAATTCGTGGTCATCAAACTCAAAGTTATTCATAACGGTTATGAATCTGAATAATGGTCAATCATTGCTCTTCCTCACGAGTTATTTTAGTTTGGGTTATGGTAGATTGGAAAATCGGTAAATATGATGAATCTGGTATTCGGCATAAGTTTATGAATTCATTGACTTTCGATTTGACCTGTTTGGAGAAGCGCAAACTTCCTGATTAGGGTTCGTGTTGTATTTCTGTTCTGTTGTTAAAACATGAATCAGAATTGATTGCAGTGGTAAAAATGAATCAATTCTTTATCTTTCTGTAAATACAATTAAACCGTCCGTTACAGAGAGCGTAGCACCTCCAAAAACACTTATTTTTATTGATATTTATGAAAAATAAATCCAGAAATCTAAAATCATCGTATCACCTGTCAAGATTTAACCGTGATTGCGAACTGAATTAAAAAAACCATGAAGGATTTATTATTGCCCGCCTCAGTTATTTTAAAACCTTCGATTAATCTTTTTTGCCATATTCGTGATTTAGGATGTTTGTGGTTGGATTGAAAATCTGTCTTGTTAGTAACAATTTCCTGGATGATTAGAATACTTTAATTTTTGCACTTATTTTGTCTTTTACTCAATTTCATTTTAATTGGTGTGCTTTAACAACTCTTTTTCCAGGAACAATCTGTGTGAATGATTTCAAACAATTAATGTACGCAAAACATGATGAGCGTAAATCTAACGGAAGGTTAATAAACTAACATCGTATTATAAATCGATTGTAGAAGAAACTACCATAGATATTTAGTAATTGTAAACCATTGAGTTGTACGCTGGTTCGAACCATGCTCCTTGTCTACAAATTATGACTCAAAAGCGAGTACATAAACCTGCTAATAATGACTTAGGTTGTTTCCATATCATTTAATTCATCCTTAGTTAACAGTACACCTCTTTTCATTTTATAGACTCGAATAGATGGAATGATCATTTCAAATACAACACTTGCAACTTATGAAGAGGCTGTAGCTTGCGGTGCTGCTCCAATACCAGGGAACAATGAACAAAATGTTGTATATGGTGGCTTAAGCGGTCGACCATTATTTGAAAAATCAACAGATTGTTTAAGGAAAGTTTCTGCATTAACCAAAGGTGCTATACCCTTGATCGGTGTTGGTGGTATCAGCTGCGGTGAAGATGCATTGTCCAAGTTGAATGCCGGTGCTAGCTTAGTACAGTTATATACAAGTTTTGTTTATCAGGGACCACCGGTTGCTCATAAAGTCGCTAGAGAAATTAATAAATTAAAAATGACATCTTTAACTCCCGACTAAAAACCTGCTTTTTCTTTCTAATAAAAGAATATTTGTGTTACATTTAAATAGAACTTATTTATACATTGTCTTAAATCGAGTTTTGTTTAGAAACAATACTAGGTCAAATTTATTCTAACAAAAATGTGTGAATTGTTTGTAATGACATATTCTCACACTCAAATGGCAATGTGACAGCTGTTGCGTTTCAATTCGTGACTCATTAACAATTCATGTACTCAGACGGCTGTATGATACTTCTTGATTCTCAATGGGCTTTACAGCTGATATCACGTCGTAATTCAAATTAACATCACACTAATCGTATTGCTGACAATTCCGTAAATTATGTACATGATATTTGAGATGGAGGATATCTGTAACTTAGTTTGACGTTTGCAAGTGTTGTATGTGCACTAAAACTACTGAGCCATGGTTAATTGTATCGAAGTTCCGCTGATTGACGCTCATACGTTAGTCGTCGTTGGAGCGAAACAAACGAGAGATACACCCCATTGGTTATTTGTTAATACCTAGAGTTGCTTAGGGCATTGTTATTCCATTTCTGACCAATACTTGTTCAGTTATTGGCCAGTATTGACATATACTGAATGGCATATTCCTTACAGTTGTTTCCCTCCCACAGTATCCATTTCAAATCACGACAAATAGAAATTCCCAAAATTTCCTTAAGATTTGAACCAGGTTGCTGGGGGAAATGTTGCAATTATTTATACCTTAACCCGTCATTTTTCCAAATATATTTTATACATTTAGTGTTTTCTACGTATTTGACCCGTAATTTCAAACTATAAGGAATAATTATTGCGTGCTGTTACCAAATAGGAGGAAAGATCGTTTAGTCATATCATTTAATTGAAGTCCGTAAAATATATATTTAGTACGTTTTTACATCCTACTTTTAATAACATCATATTGCTTAACTAGTTCTCATTTTCTTAAAAAGGTGTTATTAAATGGACACTGAAAATTTATAAACTGCTTGGCGGTAAACATCGAATTAAGTGAAAACATGGTCAACGCGATGAAATACTGATCATTAGTTTTAATTAATTGGTTCGAAACTTCTATTACTTTAGAAATTAAACGACATAGTTTTCTTGGCTCTATTTTGTTGTATGTTAACCACCAACAACAAAAGAGAGATGAGAATAAATAAAACAGAGAAAAAAGGGTGATTGGTAGTTTACAACAATTTCTCAAATAATTTCATTATTTATTTATAAAAGACAAATAAACGGTGTCGATGATGATAATAATGATAACAATACTGATATACAATGACTAGAAATAATGAACAAAGAAAACAGGAAAAAAGAACGGTATCTTTACATTGTATATGGAGAGAATTACCTGGGATAAAAATTACAAATATATAATTACCATTGACACTACATTGTTCAAATAGATTTCAGTTCACAGAGATAAAACAAAAAAAAAGAAATTACAATGTGACAAATAAACAAACAGAAACGCTGTGTTAAATAAATAATGATGATATAATAATAATTATGACGGTGATGATGATAGTAAATGCCTATGAGATATCTAAAAACAAATTGGCATTAAACAAGAGTTTAAAAAAATAGTTCTGAAGCAATGTCAGCAAAATATAATAACAAATCAAGAGAACTGCACAACAAACTGAATGTGGAAGTAAATGGAAGAATCTCCCCACCCTCAAGCAAAAATGGCAACAATAGATATCTTTCAATGTTACATAACAACAACAATGATAATAAAAATGTTAATTATTGCTGCGATTATGATTAACACAAGTAAGAGTCTATTTTACAAAGATTTATAACAGTAAAACTAGTAGAAAGAACTAATCGATTTATGAAGGTAGGGTATGTATATATTGTCAAAAGAGAAGTCATATCAGTGATGATGAATAATGTCAGGTTTAGGAAATAAGAATATTTCATTTTGCATATCTCTTTTGTGCTCAGTGTTTATTTCTTTTTTCAATCCAATGAATGTTTCTCTGAAAAGAAGATTCAAGTAAGGCAGAAATGAGCATGTTAAACGTGAAAACAGTTAAACTAGGATTGGTTACAATCCAAGTAGACCAGTACATCAACCAAAAAATGATTTATCGGAGAAATCAAAAGGCTCTAGGAACATTGAACACACTTATAGTAAGGTGTATCAATTTTACAAGATAAATTGATTTTATTCACCGACTTTCTAAAACCAAGCAAGCTACTGTTTGCGATCCTTCACTGTCGATACGAATAAACTCACTTGAAAAAACACTAGTTTTAACATTGATTATTCAGTAGTCTCTTGATAAACAAACTATATGGAGAATATCTGTGGTTGCATACATGTCACCCACTTTAAACGATCACTTATCACAGCGGGACAGCCATGTTGTTTTCTGGTTTAAAAAAAACTAGATACTCTCCAATGGGCAACACAAATTAGATTATAGTAGCAGATTTTTATTTGCCTCTCACAAACCTGATGGTTTATGGTAGATGAATGGCTAAGTTACGAGATTTTCTAGGTGTTTAACAAACATAGCAATTTTGGTGGTTTTGTTCTCTGAGCTGGATGGTTTGGTCGTGGAGCTTTCATCGTTCTTCTGAACGACATCATCAGCACAAACTTCAGATAGAAGTGAAGTGTTTGAATTTCTCCATATGTGTTTCACAGCTTGGAGAGATTCGAACACTTCACTTCTATCTGAAGTTTGTGCTGATGATGTCGTTCAGGAGAACGATGAAAGCTCCACGACCAAACCATCCAGCTCAGAGAACAAAACTCCACCAAAATCATCCACCTGAGCTACAAATCTTCTCCACCATCTCAAACATAGCAATTTTATTTAAAAACAAGACTGAAGGATGTAAAAATGATAGTGTTGTACCATTGATATCAGCAATTCTTTGTTACCATAAAAAATGATACCGAAAAGGAACTAATGAAATATAACCTATACCGTACGCTTTACTCAGCTAAACAACTATGTTACACTGAATTATTTCTCCAATTTTTCTAAGCTATTGTCATTTAGTGATGAAATATATCGAGCAGACAACTAGTGAATTCTCTTATATATAAATTTGCGACCTACTTGGACGATTACATTATCCAAAGTAAATAAACCAACGTGCAACACTAATCGATAAAACATTTTGAATGACCTTTATGTGCATTGATGAGATCGATAAATTTCTTTCAATCCATCTGCCATTATAATCATATAACTTTGAAATTGAGTGTATTGTATGTACTAGGTATTTGAAAATTAATAAACTGATGTGGACAGTTACATGTAGCCTTTTATGCTAAAGTTTAGTGATTTAAAATGCTTTTCAAGTTTACATCAATCAATGACGAATACACAAAAACGCGAGTGTAAAAAGTTTATTATCTCGGCATATATGAAGCTTAATCAAAGAATATTGTTTAGATGAGTAACGAGTTATTCCATTCAATCATTTGATTAAGAGAGGATTAAACTGATATATATATATGGTCTGTTGAGTACATATACAAACTAACCCATGAAGATTGTAACTTTTAGAAAATAACTAAACAAAAGAACAGTCTTGCCGTACTAAAACACCATTTATCACCTTGAAAAAGTTTGTCTTATCCTAAAAGACCCCAGTTATACTTCATTAACATAAATAGGTAACATAATCTACTAAAAAAATATTTGATAATATCTATGAACTTACAGTATGGAAAGTGATTCAATAGAAAATATTATCATCATGAATGCGAACGAATGAAACATTTGTTGTATCATTTCGTTATAGATAACAATCTTGATTGTTTTATGATTAGAAAATAACTTGTAAAAGGAACATAACATTGAATATAATAATAAACTGTTAATACAAAAGATATAATATTAATACAAGGGAGGTAAATATATTCCAATCACAAATTCGATGAATATCAATTTTTATTGATGTCTGAATGATGATACAATGGTAGGAGTTGTTGTTGTTGTTTTTGTATTATTATGATGATTAAAAAATACAGATTTCAAGGTGTTATTACTATTGTTATTCACAAACAATGAGAAACCAGTCAGATTTCGTACTGACGACTGATAACGAGTAACCTAAAATTTATAAGAAGTAAAGGTTACTTTTTACACCAAAAAACTCAAGTAATAATAAACAACAGGCTGAAAAAGTGCTACACTACAACCATATTTAGTCATATTGGTTGTAGAAAAACGCTTAGATTGTAGTGCTTGAACTATTTTCTAAGCTACTCCATTATAATAATGCGTAACGGATAAAAATGCTTAGCATTCCCCACCTTCATCCCATAACGTAGAAGAAATCAATTGCTTTATTATCCGAAATGAAGAGATAAAAGTGATGAATATTTTAGATAGAAAAGTTAGAATAAAAATATTCTCTACAAAAAATATAGAAACTTATGATTATTTATCATAAACCAACTTGATGCTATATTATGACTATAGAGTACGATCGGCATTTAAAAAAAACGGCGAGATTATAATTTATGGACGAACCAATCAGGTATAAGATAGCAGGTTTTGGATTTTGGCGCGAAATTCATAATTTTAATTCCTCACACTGGCTCATAACCTTCATTTGGTCCAAGTTGTGGATACTCTCAAGGTCACTAAGGCGCCGCTTAAAGGTCATTCACAAATTATAGTCTCACCAAAAAACTAGTATACCACAGTAGTGACCAACCTATAATTCCATACTTTTTAAAATAATTAATTTGTTCACGATAATGACGTTAACACATAGCAGTATGATATAAAGATAAGTTTGCTGTATAGTCTCAGTGATATGAACTATCTAACAGTTATCTAGTAAATGAATATTTTTGTCTTAAGAACTTCAAATCAAATTTTATGAATGATAAAAAATTATTGTCAGATTGACAAACTATTCTCCTGCTACAAAAGTATTTGTATAGAATAGAATATGTACTTTCGACTAAAGACTTGATTATTAAAGCCATCAAATCATTGTCTTACTAGCAAAGAATAGAAAATAAAGCAGTCCATAAGACATGTAACTGAAACACTTGTTAAGACGAATGATTTGTCTCTGTATTTATTTTAGGCGGCCAAATCTTCAAATCTAACTGCCTAATGTTTGCTTATATCTGACTGGAATGAATATTTATTCAAATGTGATAAGTCCTGTTAATGTAAATATCAGAGAGCAAGTGGATGTTAATAAGCTAAGCCACAGTTACTGTATGAGAGTTGAATATAAGTATTTATAATTACCACATATGCACGAATACATTTGATTCAACACCTAATAAGTCTCCATTTTTCCAAGAGTCTCGAGAAAAACGATTTGCTGATCAATAACGTCCTAGTTAGACGATCACTGATATTTTATAATGAAGTTTTAATTCATTTTAGCATTCTTCTACATTGACTACTAAAGCTTATTAACCTCAGGTATTAATTATTATCAAAAGGTAGTGGATATATACTGAGGAAAATCATTATCTTTTTGATGGTGCATATGTATTAAGTTAACTGTTCATTTATGCTCAACGTCGCTTAGTATTGGAGTAATGAAAAAGCACCTACAATCATGATTGCGATTTCCTAGCAAAGTACTCATGATATGATAGAAGTACATTGAGGATTGCTACGTTTTTTTACTAAATATTATTGGTAGTAAAGCATAGAAAAGAGTGAAAAGATTTATGCATACTTACTGTAATATTAAAACGTAAGGGATGCTAAACACAAAGAAATCTCTTTCACACTGGCAACAATCCAATTATTTTTTGTATGCCCTGATTCTGGTTTCCTGTCTATTATTTTACTATCTTTTTGAATCTCAAGTCTAATAATGTACTTTTCATGAATAGAAAGCTTGCGTAGTTTATCCAGCTTCTTATCGTTTTCAATGGTTATATGATTTGATGAAAACTACTTGTGATTTTTTTTAGCTAGATTCAACCGTTATATAATAATATTTTGTTTCATTTAGATGAATACTTCAGCTGGTGTTGAACTCCAAGTGTTGATGATAATACTGTTGACCAGAACAACAATGAAAACTTCATGATCAAACCATTTAGTTGAGGCAACCTTATGTTGTTAAAAATGAAGTATTCTAACTAATCAAGGAAGCACTCACCAAACGCAACGAACGATGACCATACAATATCGTGGATTGACTGAAGTTAGGCTTTTACACCATTCGATTTCGGCTCAATAAGTCTAGAGCGTGAACGTTTGCTTGGAACCGGAGGTCCTGGGTTCGATTCCCGCTTGTGGAATTGTAATTGAGCACTACTGAGGAGTCTCATCCGAAGATGAGACGGCCGTCCAGTACTGTTAGGTTTTCAATGGTTATCTAACTTAGATTAGTTCCTGATCCCGAAAACATTCAACCAGCAAAACCTCATATTGGAAAATTACAAGAAACACTGTGTGTTTCAGTTCAGCTATTAACAAATATGATGTAACTGATTAGTTTTTAAGAAAAATCAAATATTAAGGTTCAGAACGTGAAAACTTCCGATGAACTGAAATCAGCTGATGAATGAAATCACGTTACCTATTCTATCAGGTGGTGTTTTTGTTCACTTCATCTCCTATTTTGATTAATCTTATTTGTATAAATAGTAGGTGAAATACGCAATCAGTTAACTAATAATTTAGAAAATTTGGCCAACAAGTAACTCTAATGCATATATCAAATGTAATACGTGTACTCAAAATAAATCTGAAAGAATCAAATTTTAGGACATACATTGATAAGAGAACCACTGAATGCTGATACAAACGCTTAAAATATACCAATGCAAATTATTTACTAAGTACAAATCTATTTACTGGGCTCGGAAGCCATGTTGCTCACGTGAAGGGTAACAGTGTGACAATCATGATATTGTTCAAGCAGAAGTAACTAAAGAGAGAGAAGTGGTATGAATCCATAACTTATTAATTGAAACCAAATGCGTTAACCGTTAGCTCATCATTTCACAGAGTTAATGGGAAGTCAAGTAATTATTATTAATACATGAAATTTTTGTACCCGTGAAGATATTACTCTTAAACAAAATGTGTAATGTCAACATCGATAAATCCACTAAACGACACACGTTTCGTAGGATTAAATTCAAATACATTAGAACAGGCTTTTAAAAATAATAACTAGATCTATATCTCTAAATATTAGCTATCTATTTGAGTATCACAATTTTTCTCCTATATTTTATCAAATATTCTCATTAAGACACTAAAACTATAAATTAGGAGGAGAAATGTTTCGTTTCAATCACTGCGTCAAGTCTGTACAATAATATATAGGTTTTTAAATTAACTATAAAATCCATATGTAATTGTTGTTTGAATCTTCTCATTGATGTTTAAGACTGTATATATGTATTCTGAGCGGATTGCTTTGATTGCAGTTTTAACTATAAATGGGAAGATCTAAACGACCAATACAAATGGATTAAACTTCACTCCAATGCATAAGCTAGTGGCCATCTGGACTCAGTAGCTAAGTGGATAACGCTAAGTTGTTGGAAGCGAACGTCACTCAGTTCGAGTCCCTGAAAGAACATTACCTTTGGGGCACAGGTGCATTCAGCTGACGAGTCCGAAGCAGGACGAAACGCGCATCCTGGTTACAACTCTAAGCCATCATCTATCTCTAACTATAAAATCAATGCGAAATAAGTAGTGGTAGATCAATTTGGCAATGTATCTTTGATAGTAGTAATTCAAAGTCCATATAACCGGTTAATTATCACAAGTAGTTACGTGAGAAAATTTAAGTTTGAAACTAAGCAGTTTAATATGTATTAAGTGTTATTTGTCAAATTCAAAATAGCTTCAGGAAAAACCTGATCCATTCGAAGTTATCTGCTTATTGACTAATAGAAAGTATATTGAATGAGATATGTGATTGATTTGCTAAATAATAAAACTAAACCCACTTATTCAACATTAAATGTTAAACTATGATATTTTTTACACTTAGCAGTCAATTAAAATGCCGACATTTTATGAGAAACAATAAGGTAAATATCATACTGATATTCAGCTGACCCAAAATTACTAGATGAACATTATAAACGAAGTAATATGTAACTCTGATCAGAAAATATTCAAATAGTTATTATTGTAGTGAACGAAGACTTAATTTGAAAAAACCAATTTATGATTTAATGGAAAATCAAACAGTGCCTGTGTAAATCACGAAAATCATACAGTAAATACATCATTTGCATGTCCTTTAATTATCCTTTACATGCTTCAATATTCTTTGATCCAGTTGTTATTCCGATTGCTCTCCGTTTTCCTTTCTATCCTTTTCATTTCAATCTTCTGCTGGTAAGTATTCGAATTCCTATTCCTGTCACAAGCTACTTATATCTGTCCGCATAAGTAGCGCAAACCATATTATGATCGTTTATCATGCAATTGCAAATAATGAAGTAAAATAACATGAATTCATCTTATTTTATGAAGTTCTCATCAGCAGCTTACAAACCAAAGCAGTTATATTGGTAGAACAGAAAGAAAGACCTACGTTCGATCCCAAGAACGTATAGCAAAAATCCCAAGGTCAATGGGATTAAGGGCTTCTAAGTGCCATCTCTGTGACACAGAGCATCATGTTGACAGACTGAAATCTTTCAGCATCATTAATCGACAGTCAAATTCCCATTCTTCTCAAATTCACCGAAGTCATAGCCATCAAGTGACTCAAGATGAACTTATGTATTAAAAAATTGTTGTAAATTTTTCCTTACTATGTTGAGTTAATCGTCAGTTTATAACATCACTTTTTCAATTATTTTTTCGTCATCCCTTTCTTTTGTTTTAATCGCATTACTTCTTTTAACTTCATAACTTTATTATTTTTTTAAATTGACTGACCTCAGCTCATGTTATTCGTAATTTATTTTATCTCTTGTTACTATGTCTGATAATCCAGAGTCTTCTTCCATACATCATACTTATTTACGACAAATCTTTATGTGTCCTCACGAGCATTACTTCACCATGATGATACATAACCAGTTTTAAAGTTATAATTACAATAATTTTGATTCTTTGGCTTAAATATTATAGGCTGTAAGCAG